AAAATAAAGTCCTTGAAAACATTAATATTATTTATTATTCGTACTTATAATTCAAAGTAGAATATATAATTGTGCACATAATACAGAGCAGAACCAAGAATTATCGACAGAACACGGAACAGAGCCAAGCATCGTGGACATTGGCTTAGTAATTCAATGTCCATAAAAAATGGACATAGAGGCGCTGCATATCAGCCAACTTTTCCATTACGCTCTAATGCAGGCATGGCCGCTCTCATTCTTTTCTTTAATATATACTAGGATATATACAAGGATTCATAAATGCCGATATATACTAGGATTCATAAATGCCTTTACACTTCCGCTTTCTAAAGAATTGGACTTTTCCGATGTGGCGCATTGTTTCTCAGAGTGCGTTCTTTTATTTACTGCGAGTACAGATGCTATGACGTCATGAAAGTATACTGATAGTAGCGTTCCGTTTTAACTTCGAGCACTATCGAGGTGCTGCAAAGTGACAAATGGGAACGCACCACCTTACTGCTACTGCTTTATGGCTCCTGCACACAGGACGCGGTAATGCTTGCCGCGCGGCGGAAGTTCGCGCGACAGCCAATCAATATACTGCTTTCCGTAATAACTTTCTAGCTCTTACGGAAAAACAACATATTGATTGGCTGTCGCGCGGACTCCCGCCGCGCGGCAAGCATTATCGCGTCCTGTGTGCAGAAGCTATTACGGAAAAACAACATATTGATTGGCTGTCGCGCGGCAGGTATTATTGCGTCCTGTGTGCAGAAGCCATTACATGCTTTTAGAGTGCGTTCGGGAAGCACGCTACCAACGCTACCGCGTTCTTCTATCTTTCTCGCTCCTTAGAAATACAAGAATGGACTGGCTGTGTTCAGCAGAGAAAGCTGCTTTGCAACTGTGTAAAATTCGTGAATCTGATTGGTACATGCTCTTGGATTTAACCAAAATTAAGAGCATACTCCAATCACGAATTTTACAACAGTTGCAAAGAAGCTTTCTCTGCTGAACGCAACGAATGACACAGTAGCGCTTAAAGCCATCACACACAAAATTCCGTAAGAACTTAAATTGTAAGCGTAAGGAAATCGACCAATCCCAATCGAGTATTCGGTTCTTCGTAATAATGGAGGGGTTACGAAGAGCCTAGTGCTCGATTGGGATTAGTTGATTTCTTTACGCTTACGTTTTAAGTTCTTAAGGAATTTTATGTGTGATCGCCTTTAATAACGCTACTAGTGAGCTCTCCTTATGGCTTTTACACACAAGACGCGGTAATGCTTGCCGCGCGGCGGAAGTTCGCGCGACAGCCATTCAATATGTTGTTTTTCCGTAAGAACTAGAAGGTTATTACAGAAACCAGCATATTGATTGGCTGTCATGCGAATTTCTGCCATGCGTCAAGGATTACCACATTCTGTGTGCAGGAGCCATTAGATAGCTTGTTAGCAATCTAGTTTAGTATAGACATTTGTGCATCCAATAAAAGAGTTTACTTTCTAGAGACAACAATGATGCTGTCTAAAAACTCTAGGAAACGAAATCTCCTATTGGATATCGATCTGCGTACATCGGAGCGTGCGCAATGTAAATCCTTCGTTACATCAACGATGACATAAAGGTTAGGTTAAGTAAAGTAAAGATAGGTTTGTTTAGATTAGTGACAAACCATTGATGAATACTTCGAAACATATCTACTGAATGACGTCACTAGTCTCTAGTATAAAAGACGTTTCCAAATATAAAAAATTCCAAAGTGTCCAGTAAATTGCAGCCTAGAAGAGATCATATGAGGTTAGGGTTGAGCAGACCGTTATTAAAAAGAAACGTGGCGAAGCAGTGACTCAATCTAGTGGAAATAGTGTATGTGTATATGTGTGTTGTGTATGGCGAGAAGTAGGAAGAGGAGCAGACGTCACAGACCCATTCGCTCATCGGCGAGGACACTGTTAGACACGAGGACATCGTTATTGCGGGTTGTATCGCGTGTTGCGCAAACAGAGATCGACATCGCCGGCCGTATATACACGCGTCGTCGAATCTCGCTGCGGTACATTACAGCGCGTGCGCGTGCGTGTGTGTGGTGTGTGTGTGTGTGTGTGTGTGCGGCGTGGCGTATGTGCGCGCGCGACGGCAGTCACAGTGCGAATCTCTCCATGCGACGGTACTCCCCTACTTCTTTCGACGGGATTATCAAAATGGTGGCTGCTGCATAACGCGGGTGATGTGTAGACAGATATCAACGGCTCGCTATTTGTGTGATCGTTTCAGGGAAACGTGTGAAACGTGAGCACTACCGCTACGCGAAACCTCGCAGCGCAATATGGGCGACCCGAAGAGCCAGCACGGCGCTCAGGAAATGAAAGGCTGGCTTTTCAAATGGACGAATTATCTCAAAGGTTATCAACGCCGTTGGTTCGTTCTGTCAAATGGCCTCCTGTCGTATTACAGGTAGTTCCCTACGTGTCATCAGATTTTTATAGCCTATTACGCTCTCTCTTTCTCTCTTCTCCTCTTCTTGCCCCTCTCCCCCCCCTCCTCATTCTTCCTCTCCTTCTTTCAGATGTCTTTTCGCCGTCGTTCGACGTAACGTGTTTACCTGCAAAAACGCTAAAGACGATCGATCTGACGAGATCATGTTCAAATCGCACGAGCGACTTCTGCGAACTCGTTACCGTTCTCTTCCTCTCTCTTCCTCCCGCTCCTTCTCTCTCTTTTTCTCTCTCTCTTTTTCTCTCTCTCTCTCTCTCTCTCTCTGTCTCATACACGGCGGTAGACAACGTCGAGCGCCAGCGCGAGGAGAAAAATTCTGACACGTTGCGAATGCGTGCAATATGGAGCTGTACCTGGTCGTTGCGTCGCGACTAGGTTATGTGCGCGATGACTGCTCGTTTCGACGAATCCCGTTCGAAAATAGCCTAGAGGCAGAGCTGTCATCGTGCTTCCGATCATATGTATCTGAAGTGTCGTGTATACACACGACGAGACACGTTGTACGCGTTGTCATGTTCTCGTGCCACGTGAAGCACCGCCCCCATGATTGGTGCTTTGCGAGCAACGCATCTAATTGTTAATTTAGACGTTACATCTACCCGTCAGGATCTATCCTGCACACATTGCTGTTCACGGCGTGTGGACGTTAAAGATGCAAAAGCACACGGAGAGATCTAAGATTTATTCCTCTTAGCTGAACCATCTCGACCTGTACAACGGGTTGCAATAAGTTAGAGTGAGACAGATATATTCCGTTTCACTCTGCACAGCGTCTGCACCAATTCGAGCAGTTCAGCAGAAAAGAGCAGACCTCTTGCGAGTTATGTCCTCATTTCGCAGATTCGTGCAACACGATTGCTCGGCAAACGCGCCGGGCACAGCTCCTTATTCGTCCATTTCTGTGAGAGAGAGAGAGAGAGAGACGGTTTAGTTTAGCCGTACTAATTACAATGTTAACGAGCTTGCAATAGACTGCATCAGCGACGATATTAAACGAAAACTTCAATACTTTTAAGAGAGCATGCGATCAACTCTGCGGTTTCATTTTCAGATGGTAGAACTTTATTCAAGTAACATAGAATCAGCTACACTATATTACTTTGAGCCGCCGTTTTTGCTCGGGATTCTATTCGCTTTTAAGTTGATCCGAGTTCGTAGCATATCTCGACATACACGAGACGCACGAGAGACGCGATACATAAATTGATAATAGTCATCAAGTTTTCAGCAACGATTACAAAGTTTTGTAGACAACACAGATATTAAGCCTTGCTAAAAGCACTTGTTAAAACTTACCAAATTCTATTGCATTCGTCTGCACGTTTAATCGAAACTATTTCACAACTATAAAGCATCTGGTAACTATTTATTATTCAGGCTTGATGGTTATTACCCAACCTTTTTGTTAGTGTATAAGATGCGTTATAAAATGAAGGATTAGTGATAGTAGGATTTATTTCTAATCTTTCACCGCAGATTTTACCCCTTGGTTATGAAATTTAACGTAAGATATCCGCGTTGCGATATCTTGTCACTAACTAAAATCAGGATACTATCTCCCAAAAAGAAAAAAAGAAAATACTTCGAATCCTCGCATGTGATATGGTACTCTTTGTATGCGCGCATCAAAGGGTACTTATTTTATATATATGTACATGTCTGCCTTATATATTCTTCTCTCTTTTATATTGATCTTGCGAGATTTTCTTGAATTATTTAGCGCTTTGTTGTACTTCGCAGCGAGGTACTTCGTCTGCAGTCACAACCGCAATGACGTCTATAATTTTTCTTTTTTTTTTTCACGATCTTCGCGTGTTTCGTTGTAGAAATTTTTTTCATTAAAATCGGCAGAATGGAATGAGGAACATTACGACGCAAGCGCAAATAACGACCATACCTAAGTCTCGTTCTAATCTTTCCGATAGAGCAGTCATAATCTCTGACAAACGATTACGCACCGGCTTTCATAGGATTTTTCGTTTGACATTCCGCTTGGCACAGTTTTTGTGTGATTTGAGTTTGCAATGCACCTTCGCGAACTGTTCTGGAATGTATTTATATGAGTTCTCATTGTACAAATAAGTAATTCTCGATTGTCTGTCGTGATGCTTTTCGCACAAAACAAGAAGACACGCGTGCACTCAAAATACGCAAATTGCGTTTGAACAGTCAAGCGAACTTCTCCTCGTGTCACCTCTCGATATACTACCGATCTTGTAATTTTTATTTTCTCTTTCTTTCCTTTCGCGACCCGCGAATACGAGGTGACTTACGACACCGCTACGCTTTTGTATCACTTTGCGATAGTCAGAATGAAAAAGGAAAAAGAAGAGAAGACAATGAGAAAAGAGAACATAATTTCAAGCAATAAGCCTTGCCCATATGTTGCACAATGTGAACGGGGTCTATTTGTTTTATGGATTGTTTAGGGCTGAACCGACAGGGGGGCCAAAGATATCAACGCGACGCAAGCGGAGGGCTGGCAGAGCCTCCGAGTAAGTAAATACAAAAAAAAAGAAAAAAATTCGATATCGCCAAAGTTCCCCCGACTCTCCTCTCAGCAAATCTTTGTAATTAAAACAAACAAAAAAAAAGAAAAGGAAATGCAACCGAGGACGTTCGGAGTTGTCATCTATCATTGTTTAATACTCTATTATTCGTTTTTATACGTGCACACCCGCACACGCACACACATACACACACACCCACATACACACACCTACACCATATGGTCATTCAGTTCTACATGTTCATATATGCAGTTTTGATTTGTCAATATCCTTCATGCGATTTCATCCGCTTTCTCTACCTGCCTATAACGTGTAAGCGATATGTTACATCTATGGTACGTGTCTGTTATCTGGAAATTAAATATATCCTCGTCGTGTATGCTCTAAATATACTAAAAACGTTACACCTGTATATTCTTTATTCTCTCTCTCTCTCTCTCTCTCTCTCTCTCTCTCTCTCTCTCTCTCTCTCCCCCCCTCTCTGTCTCTCTCTCCTCTCTTCTCTTTTCTTTCTCTCTTCTTTCTCTCTTCTCTCTATTCTTCTTTTGATGTGTTTTTGTACGTACAGCCGCGAGCAGCAAACTGTGTCGCTTTTATTTTACGTTACACAGTCTGCCAGTTTTAAGTTCGTCCTTCGTTCAAGTCTGTTTCGTCACACTTTTTGTTGATTTATTAGTCTCACGCAGTGTACTGGACTGACGGAGCTGCCGTTGATAGCCCATCTGTAATAGACAGTATTGCTTGTTTAATCGAGAGGAATTAGTCAATTGGACAGTTTCATTTTATCATCTCCCGTTCGGGCGCGAAAGCTCAAAAGTTCTACTGACCGCAGAGGAAGAGCTTACCCGCGAGATAACGTCTTTTCTTTCCGGGCGCAACGGACGCAACCGGAAGAGTTTTAGTAGTCGGTCTCAGTTTCTCCTCACTTGCCCCTTTCTCGATCAGGTAGATTCTCCTAGTTTACTCTTGGATCTTTTTACGTATTTAACCCTGCCCAAGATTGATTAATGTACAGAATACGTTCACTCGTCATTGTTACGTCTCCCCCCTCCCCCTCATAGTCACGGATTCTTACGTAAATTCGACGTCCATTTATCACTGATAAGAGTCCAATCGAGTGGAAAGTTTTTCGAAATGCGAGGAAAAGTCGACTGCACTCGACTCACGAAAAAAGAATCTGTGACTCGGGGACGAGCAGCACCCAGTGTAAATAATGAGTTTTATAACGAGCTGAGACGATCCATATTAACACCGTGTGTATCGCCACCTTGGAAAGGAAATATAATTTCGATACGTTTTTCTTGTTGATAACATGACACGGTATATAGATAATTCATCAAATTTTGGTAGTTTGCCTTCTGCTCACCCTGAGGATGACGACAAATCGAGAAAGCGATTACAGCCTGTTTGATCAAACTCGAATAATAAGAACAACAAGAGAGCAATTGTAGATGTCTAGGTATCTATATATCTAAATTTCTATGCACAATTAATGCAGATGCAATTAATAATGATAATAGTGACACGTTTGCACTCGGAACTTTGAATCCAGTTTTGATCCGAGTTTATATCTCGATGGGACTTCCTGTTATTTATTAGTTGTGTATATGAAAATGTAAATATATGAACCTAATATCAGCAACACCACGGAATACTGACAGGAGGAAACTTTGTTCCCCACACTATTTCGAAATCAGCTTAATATGCTAATTATATTACATTTATTATTCGATATTCGCGCGAAAAAAGCCGAAGAACGAGTTAACTCGTAGTTGGCTTGTGGAGCAGAGAATTCTTTCCGCATGCTGGCTACGAGGCAACTCATATTTAGCAGTCGATATGTCAGGGTCATATGTTATAGAGACTTTCTCGGAGCGTTTTACAAACCTTCTTGCGCGGAAGACGAACGCTTCTCTCCCTTTATTAGGTTGGTGCAAAAGATTTGTCATTCTTTTATCAAGTTCTCGTAGGATGTATTAAAGAGTTTAGGCTGTAAAGCAAAATGAGTTTGTTAAGAATTCGAACTTGCTACATACAAATCAGTGCAAAGAAAAACATGGATCATTCTGAGATATTTGAAACTGAAATGGACACTTTTTGTTTGATATGTTCCTTGGAGTTGGCGTAATTATTGGCGTAGTTATTTTTAATTTTTGTGTTTGATTCCTTGTAAATAGTAAAATTGGAGTTTCAATGAAAAATTGACATGATATTAAAAACTAATATAAAGACATCATATACACAACCTCTTTAAAAAGAAGAAAAAAATGAGAAGCTCTCATTATTAGATGTCCAAAATGATACTTAGTCGACCTTAGTCCTGAAACTTGATTCGTGAAAATGATAGTCGACATTGGATCATTTCGTTTTCTATTTTATTGGACAAACACGACAAGCCTCGCGCACCAACCTAATACACTCACGATTGCTCTTCATCCTTGAGGCGAATGGAATGCGCTGTCAAGGTTTGGCGACCTGTGTTTCAAGAGCACTCGGTATATAATTACGAGCCAGCATGAGTTCTTCCTTTTCCACGTGGAAACGTGCGATTGTTGTTCGATTAACCCGAGCGACCTCACGTGCATGATCCGATTGAGAGAGCTCTGCCTCCGTCCTTTGGAGTTATTGTTTCATGCGGCGGAATAACTCCCACACGATCACACGACGGAGATCGCTCTCTTGACACGGACGACAGTGCCGCGAGATGTGCTCGTATGGACGTGGTGCAGGAGCGGGATCCCATGGCGGGATGGTAACGGGATCGCTTCCAGCCGGGGGGGAAGCGCATATCTCCCTGGATTATATATTACACTAACACACTCTCATACTTTTTAATTCGCGCCCGATCACCCTCCCTCCCACCCCACCTGGCCCTGGCGAGGTCACTCACATGTGTACGGTGTCACAGATTAACGCAGACAATCGTCGTTTTGATTATGTTACATTGGTGTGTCAGTTTGGGAAACAAGCTTGGACAAAAAAAAGCCCTCTGTCTCACAAGTCGTACCAGTCAAAGACACTCGGAACTCCCGATTGCAAACTCACGTCTGTCTTTCTCTGTGTCATTCGGTATTTTCCGGCGATCCGGCGATCGAGGAATATGTTTTTCCTGGGATTGTCGCGTCTCCGTTCCTCTGTTCGCAGAAACCCCGCGGAGATGTCCCACACCTGCCGCGGCACGATTTCCTTACACGGGGCCTTAATACACACGGTGGACGCCTGCACCTTCGTCGTTAGCAACGGCGGCACCCAAACCTTCCACATCAAAGCGGCGACCGAGGTGGAGCGACAGCAGTGGGTCACAGCCCTCGAGCTGGCCAAAGCCAAGGCCATCAAAGCGATGGAATCTGGTTTGTATGATTGTCATCGCGCTCGCCCTTACGTGCTGCAAGTAGTCCCATTACGTACGCCGTCGAGCGTCAAGTGATCTTAACTGCAATATATATCTATGAAGAATATTGCAAGGTCGTCGGGTCTTACAAAAGTATAAGGATGAATTTTTGTCGGAATATTTTCTGAGATATTTCATATCTTGTGCTGAAAAGTATAAGAGGAATAAAATGTAAAATATCTCGGAAAGAGATATAAGTTCCTGTCGTATAAGTGTAAATATCGATTTGTGTTAAAAAAAACCATACGATTCCAGTGAAAAAAACTAACTTTGGAAAGACGTTGTATATATACGGAATTTATAAACATTTTGTAAACGAAGTTCAGTTGGTGCAATATCGAAGTACGAGTGCTTAAGCGTTTGCATGGCTGCTAAATGTCGCGTCTGTTTTTCTTGATACCCTGACGAATTTATGCGGTATCTCTTTTAGAAGAAGAGGAAGAGGAGTACCAGGATAACGACAATCAAAAAGTGGAAACCGCGTCTGTGATTAAGGATCTAACACGACGGCTGGATGATTTGCAAGCGTGCAATGACTTGATATTCAAGCAAGGAACTATGCTGCAACGAGCCTTAAACGACTTGGAAACACTTGAGCCTCCGTCCCTTGAATTAGCGGCAAAAATCAAGACCGTCAGTGAACGAGCCACGCTCTTCCGGATCGCGGCGAACGCTATGATTAGTGTAAGTCTGAACGGTAATTTCTGTAAGATCGGAGAATACACATTTAACGTACACTAGAATTCATAAATGCCTTTATACTTCCGGTATCTAGAGAATTGGATTTTTTCGATCTGACGCATCGTTTCTTAGTAAGCGTGACTGTTAGTTAGTTGTCGGTTCTTTCAGTAACTAACAATCACGCTTACTGAAAAACGATGCGCCAAATCGAAAAAGTTCAATTCTCTAGATAGCGGAAGTGTAAAGGCATTTATGAATCCTAGTGTACATCTTTTGGAGAGAACGATGCAAAAAGTCTAAGTCCCAATCTACAATAGGTGTAGTGAGTTTTCGTAAGAAATTGACCAATCACGATTATTCTTCTATAATTCAATTATGATGGTCAATTTCTTAAAGCTTAAAGCTTACTACACATTGTAGATACTTATTGTAGATCGAGACTAACGGAAACGCTAAGTGAAGTGAACCTCTTCTTAAGCAGAATGTCCTCGGTATCACTTTCTAAGCGTCTGCTGAGCGAATTAATGAAATCAGCAAGTGTATCTTTGTATACATTCGGTAAATCTTATCGTGATGGGATACAAAGTACACAAGCGAATGATTCATTTTTGTGAGGGATCGTATCTCTTTGAACGGCGGTAATTAATCCGCTCTTTATTGCGAAGATTGATGACACGTTCAAAGGTCACGTAGAGATTCACGGAGCGGGTTCCTCATTCATACCGATTAAGATCGCGGGATATTTACCACGCGCAATCTTAACGACTGGATTATGTTGTTGCAGACCAGCAGCGATTACCTACAATTAGCCCAGCAACAGGAGCCTAAGTGGAAGAAGATGCTGCAGCACGAGCGCGACCAGAAGGAGCGGATAGAGAAGATGGTCGAGCAGCTAGCCAGGCAGCATTCGCACCTCGAGGAAGCGGCGCAACACGCGATTCCTTCGGCGACGCCCGCGGGAGGACACAGACCTTCACGTAATAAACTTGTACATTTCCTCACTGCACGTTCCGCTTACTGTCAGCACGTGCTGATCTTGTTTTTAATATTTTTATATTCTTACTTATCTTGTTTTTTTTTTTTCTTCCTGCATATCTATCTGAGTACAACCGCACTCTTCAACACATTGATCAGCGAGTTGATTCGCATAAAAGCTTAACTTTATCGATTGAATTACACTAAAGATACGGCAAACGAATGTGATTCTCGAAACGCGTGTATTTTTTTGCGCTTCGTTTCATCGATTCTACTGATAGTACAACCGATTTTTCAGAAGCAAATAATTATTTTCTGTGTAATTTAATTAGCAGCTGACGACTGTCGCGCGTTCAACGTGTTGAGCATGCATGTGTATTTCTTACTAATATTTTAGAACTTTGGATATGTGCAGAGTAGCCAAAAGTAGGAGACCCTTTTCACAAGTGCTGTCCAGTTTAAAAGTTGAGGCACACAAATTTCCAAAATTAATTCTATACATTTAACTATGAAGAGTTGTTTTTTTATCATGAGAGATACATAAGAAATAAAAATATTTTGGACAAGAATTTTATGATATTTAACACTAGGATGTCATTTTGACTTCTTCAAAGTTTTCTTGTTGTCGCCATTCTTGTAGTTCAAGAAAGAAAAAATGCTCGTGACTTTCACTTTTAATTTTATTTATACGTTATTATTTTTATGAATTCCGAAAATCTTTTAAAGATAGAGGTAAAGAAAATTTCATCCACGTACAGACTGTACGTGGATCAGAAATTGTAGTATATATAATTAAAATTACGTAACACTACATTACATACTGTAATTGAAATTATAATGTAATTGAGAAGAAGTCAATGTATAGTAAAAACATATAATTCCTTATTTTTGGCTGCTTCATAACAGCTAGAGATATGTGAATTTGATGTGAAATTTTTTTTCATAACAGCTTCATAACAACTTCATAATAGCTAGAGGTATGTGAATTTGATGTGAAATTTTTTTTACCAGAGGTAGAAGAGTTGAGCTTTTACCAGTGGTAAAGAAAATTTCACATCAAATCCACCCACATATAGACTGTACCGAAAATTGTAGTATATATAATTAAAATGACATAACACTACATTACATATTGTAATTGGAATTATAATAATTGAAGTTTTAATATAATTGAAATTATAATAATAATTGAGAAGAAGTCAATGTATAATAAAAACATACGTCCCTTATTTTTGGCTGCTCTATAATATATCCAAAATTCGGAAAAATCGGCAAGTGGCACTTCCTTTGTAAAATATGCGCAACAAGAGGGAAAGGAAGGGTGAGAAAAATCGTGTATCTATCTAACAATACGTGTAAAATACGTGTTTGTTAAATAGATTCACTGGTGTTTCCGCCAATCTGATGGTCTGCCTGTGCCTGATATCGAATTCGATCTCCCCTCGTGCTAGAGACTATTGCAACGTCAATTGAACGCTATGTGGGACTTTCAACCCAAGAATGAAACCATATTTAGCGCTAAATTTAGCGCTATATGTCGGTCCCGATCGATAGTCACGCGACTTCCGCACTTGTCTTTACATAACACGTCTGTTCTTTTTCGAAGAACCGCCTCTGAACCGCATTGGCGCGGTGAGTTAGAGTGAAACAAAATATACTCATCTCGCTCTAACTTATCGCCCTGGTATATTAGTTCAGGAAGTTCTTCGAAGAGGGGCAGACGGGCTTCTCTAACACCTCTCGCCAAAACGCTTTGAACATTCGAGTCTTGGCGCTTTTTTACCTGGTTGTTTGTGTTCGTGCCAGATGGCAGCACCGGTTAGATTTCCGCCGTGTTGCGCGGCGCGAGCGACTCGCTTCGCCAATAGCTGTGTGTACGCTGGCATACGTAATGTCGCCCTATACATAGATAAGCTTTATTCACGTCGCGCTTGCATATACGGTAACATTATATATGTATACAATATGATGTATATATATATGTGCGCCTGTAAATCCCGAGTGCGTGTGCTTACGTTTTTGCCGAATGTGACGCTTGACTGTTCCACCTTCACCTAAAAACCGCCGCTCAATCCTGCCTGTCGAGCGCGTTTTCTTTTTCCCCGATATCCGAATTCCGATTCGTGCGAGCGGCTTGAGTGGTCCACCCAGCCTTGGAGGGCGGCCGACAGGATTGCGCGAACGGGAAATTGTCAAAACAATAATAGGACGGGTCTGAGGAAGGTAGAGTGTCGTCTGCGTGTTTCGTAACTTCGCAGTCCGCTCTCGAATGTTGCTGAGAGAATCCGCCGACACTGACGGGTCGGTCCCCCCTCCCCCCTTTCTCCCGCTCCCGAAACCCGACCTCGGCATCTGTGTGCGCGAAAGTGCGATCGTCTCCCCGCGCGCGACATCTTCCTCTCGTCGTCACTCTCAAAAATGGATCTGTTCTTCTCACCTGTGTTGTATTGCACTTCTCGCACTTGAGGTGAAATAAACTTCTAATTCTCGAATTTGGACAGACCGAGAGAGACAAAATCTGTAGCAAGGTGCACGAGAGTGCAGCCGAAAGGAATGTATCTGATATCGAGTGATGAGAGGTCATTATTTCCGTGGCTTCCAATCGCCCCTTTGTTTTCCTTTTTTTAATTCGGTCAAGTGGAGCACGGAAGTGGAGTGCGATTGCTGCAGCAGTGCGGGCACGCTGTAGCTCCGCGACGATGACAGCGCGATTCGCTTGAAATTGCGGAAAGAGACGTGACTCAACATAGACAGAAAGAGATAGAGAGAGAAAGGTTGGATCCCCGCGCGCTCTCCGGAACAGTAAAATTCACTCAAAGCGGTGGTATGCGTGGCCTTATTGCGAGAGCTCATGGACTATGTATCGATTCTTTATTAATGATACGATCTCGACCACTGCCAGAGCACGGACTATCGCGTGGCAGTAACGTGTGTATTGTCTCGGTCCGCACGTACTCTCGCGCGCGCACCTCCTCCTCACCTTGATGTCGCGCCGAAGGCGATACCCTCACTGCTAGCTTCATCCTCAAGTCCCATTGATGCACACTCTAGTATTTCGCGCGATCAGATGACCGCCGTGCGACGTGTCCGTGTCGTCGCGACTACGCTCGACCTCCTGTCCGCCGTCTTCTTCCCCGGTTCGAAATCGCATGCGACACGAGTCCCGTCGCGTTCCCCAACGACAAATGGAGAACTTTGACATTGTAGATCCCGCAGTGACCACGTCGCCGTCCGAGGACGAGGAGGATAATGCGGAATTTTATGACGCGCAAGAATCGGACACCTTCACTCTAACCATATCCGGGGTAGCCACGAGCAATTCGATTTCTCACACGAGAGATCGTACTGATTCGCAAGGTAGCGACGATGGTTCCAGTTCGGAGGGAGATCCCACACCCTTGCCTGTCTCTGATTCCACCGGTGCCGACTCGTTTCTCATTGTGACCGACTCTACGGCAGCGCAGACTCCCCTATCTGTCACGAACACAGACGACCTGGATAACGTAAGCAAAACTATAACCTCCTCAGTCCCTACTCGGCCCAGTCGGCTGGACATTTTTCCAAGTCCACCACCTGATTTCCCTTGTACTTGAAGTGTGTGTGACCACATATTTAGTATGTTGGACTACTGATTAATACGCGGGAAATTCACTTGTCTTAACTTATATTGTTAATAAGGAAATTTATACGCCTTTGAAGTCTGACAGTTTGTCTCAGGACTGAGGAGGATGAGAAGTAGAATTGGCTATTTACATGCATACTATGGTGGTGCGAGTCATATAATTATTGGTATCTCCTTTGGTCATCAGCACTTTGCACAAACTTGTATATCAGTTAAGGAGTTTAGTCACCTAAATCAAAATGCTTAAAATTAGGCAAAAATTTAACGTAATACTCACCGCAATGAAACACATTCATGATTAAATGGTTTTGTGCAATTTATTTACACTGTTCATTTTTCTAAGCTTACCTGCACTCTGTGATTTCATTAAAGATTTTCAAAAAACTGTGAACAAAATACCAGTTGATCGCAAGAAAATTTTCTAGAATGCCAAGTGACTAAGGAGAACGACAATTCTATGATTCATCTTTATTCTCTTTATTTTCAACTCTATCTTATTGGTATTTAACTAAAAAGGGTCTTTAACTAAAAACTAATAAGAAAACTTAACTCATATTTATCAATAAAAGAAAGACCAGTATAAAGATGCAAGTCTATGCATAAGTAACATAAATTATATATAAGATGTCATACATTTGATATACAGATGTCATCTATGTAGACAATGAGTAATCTGTGGGTATCGTTGAATCTGTTACGTAATGAAATTGAAATTTTATATAATTTTTTTTTTAAACACCATTTATAGTTCTAAACAGATACAGTAAATGTTTCATAATTTAATTACATTTTTTTAATATATTTCAATGTAATTAATTTAATATATTTTAATGTAATTAATATTCTATATGGTTTACATTGTCTGTGCATGAAAAAAAGACTGTATATATTGTATAGACAATATGTAAACAATCTTGACGAAAAGCACTCGTTTATTTTACATATTTAAAACAGAATGTTTCCTTGTATGTGCAACAGAGCGCTTGGCAGACAAACAATGGCAGTGGCGGCACCGGGGTGACCACTGTTTCCAAGAGGAAGCGAAGGATTAGGGTACCTGATAAACCAAATTATCCCTTAAATTTATGGAGTATCATGAAGAACTGTATTGGCAAGGATTTGTCGAAAATCCCTATGCCAGTTAATTTTTCCGAACCACTTAGTATGCTTCAACGACTGACGGAAGACTACGAATATGCGGACATTTTGGACAGGTATACCTCCTGTTGTCGTATCGAATTGTCGCGTCTTTGTTATCTCATCAGGAGACAATTTGTACTGATACATTAACTTCACTTTGAACAGAGCTGCGGAGTGTGCAGACAGCTATGAGCAGATGGCTTACGTGGCTGCATTCACTATATCTAGTTATTCTACAACTGCTGCTAGAACGGGAAAACCTTTCAATCCTTTATTGGGCGAGACATACGAATGCGATCGTACAGACGATCTCGGATGGCGCGCCATTTCGGAACAGGTGTCGCATCACCCACCTATGCTGGCTCAACATTGCGAGGGGCAGAAGTGGCGGTGTTGGCAGGAGTTCACGATGGCTTCGAAATTCCGCGGGAAATATTTGCAGGTGCGACGTGTCTCCTTACTTATAGTGAGATAATTTCTCCAATCTACTGATACACAAGAAGCTTACTCCTATAAGCATGATCTCGAAAAATTCTTAAACAATTTAGCAAATTCACTAAAATATATTAAAATTTAATAACTTGGCACGTTTTCAATGTATCTTGGCACTCCCTGTATACAAATGTTTATATGTTCTGAATGTCGTATGTCTCTCATTAGATCAGTAAGAAATGGCCAATAAGAGCCACGCGTGTTGATGATTTCACCAGCGTTGCGAAATTGGCCACGTTTCATTAACAATGTTTTCTTACTGATTTCTTGAATATCTAAAAGTCTTAATACAAGTTCTCGTCCTTCCATTAGGTAATTCCTCTGGGTACCGCTCATTTAGAATTCGACAGCGGCCTGCAACACTACACATGGCGTAAAGTCACTACTACAGTACATAATATTATAGTCGGAAAATTGTGGGTCGATCAGAGCGGCGATATGGATATCGTGAATCATAAGGAAGGTATCAAGTGCCATTTGAAGTACATACCGTACTCGTACTTCTCACGTGATAGTCAACGCAAGGTGAAGGGAGTGGTCATGAATTCTAACAAGGAAGTCAAATGGGTAGTACAGGGTACTTGGGACGCGAAGATAGAAATTGCTCCAGTAATCAGCACGTCTGGTACGCCCGATAACCCAGTTTATAAAACGGGTCCATACATATTGGCTTGGAAACGGCGTATGCCTCTGTAAGTACATTAAGTATTGGTGCAAAAGATTTCTCTTTTTTTTTTTTTTTACTAACTCTTGAGTACTCGCCGCAATAATGTTGGATCGTGACGTCATAGGCTAGAAATTACATTCTGGAAATACTTTCAAACAGAAAGATATTTGAATGAAGGGAAAGGTTTACAAATATGCTCAATTGCGATCTCAAATGCTTTCTTCCAATTATCTTTGTATTTGAAAATTACATGCAAGAATTTAGGACATGCATTTTCCCACGGCGAAGGATAAGGAGTCTTAATTCTCGTAGGAAATTTAAGTTTGAAAAAGTTGAAAATTGAGAGATTTAAAAGGAATAGGAAGTACTCGATAGATATAAAAGAAATTGTGTCAATGTTCAAATGATTCACTCATGATCAGTCTTTCATAGTCCATCAATTGTTCCTCTGTAATAATGTACAAGAGTGTCCTTCAAAAACTCGTTCTTTATCTTAGCTCATAAAAATGATAATTCTTCGAAATCAGATAATTTCGCTTTCTGTCTTATCTGTGATTAATACGACGAACTTTTTGCACCGATCTAACAATTTTGATATGAATTTATTGTCTGTCTAAACGCTTTTATTAAACACTTTACAGCGAAGACTGCGAGAAATATTATTCGTTCACGGAATTAGCGTGTCAATTGAACGAGCCGGAAGAGGGTATAGCTCCAACGGACTCTCGTTTAAGGCCAGATCAGCGGCTAATGGAGGATGGACGATGGGATGAAGCTAATGCGGAGAAATTGCGTTTGGAAGAGAAACAAAGAGCTGTTAGACGGGCACGTGAACACGACGCAGAGAAAGCCGCTGCGCAAGGTACGTTTCTTTGTGAAACACTGCATGTCTTTAATACGTTTTGCACACTATAGGCAGTTGAGTTTATTCGAGATATTCCTCGTTTTTCCGTAGGTTTCCCGTACGAGTCGTACGAGCCACTGTGGTTTAAGAAGAAGCAGGATCCGTACACGGACAGTCGTTGTTATGTATATAACGGCGAATATTGGGATTGTAAAAGTAAAGGTGATTGGTCGCGATGTCCAAACATATTTTAGTTTATTATTATAAATATATTCTATTACACAATGTGACTCGTCACACGTACATGCAGCGCGAGAAGTTTTGGATTGTTTAAAAAATGGACGATAAACAGATGTTAGAAATTGCGATCATTATTCAAAGAGATCGAAACTTAATACTTATGAAATAATGTTGACGTGATAGTGGGGTTGTTACGGGATATGGTTTAGCGATTAATTAATTCTTCCAATCAGAGGTGGGCAAAGTTGGCACTCAAACATGTACAATGTGCAGCTTGTACTCGTGTGTCATCTTTCTTCGCTATTCTTTGGCCCTCCCACATCTCCCATCCTTCTATTTTCTTCGCGCTACATAGTATCTTTAATATTTTTACTTTCGAAAGAGATATAGAGATATCATTGATTGCCAAGAATCTAATCTAATGTCCAGTCTACGCGCGCTTTCGTGTTGATTTCTTTCCTTAACTTCGCGAAACTGACGATAACTAAGACTACTTGAAAATTCTGTCCAGTACATCCTACATATATACATCAGTTTTACGTATAAAATTACTCCAGTGAATACGTGAGAAATCGAGCAAACCATGGGTCGAATATCAGGTGCGAATATTTTATTACTTCAGCCTAAAACTGATAAATAGCAATAAGATTTTGATCGCGAAAAGAGAACGCAAAGGACTACTATCACAATAACTGAAAGTTGATCACAGGCTCAATATATGTTTCACTTTATAATAATAATATTCAGTATTCTCTTTCTGAATTCACTTTTTTTTAGATAAATACAAATTTAATTAAGTAGAAACTAATTCACAAACTTGCGTTATTTGTATGAAATTTGTTTTGCTAGTGTGTATACATATGTGTGTACATATATATGTATGTATATATATATATATATATATATATTTATTTATACATATATACATATATGTGGGAAAAATTTTCTATATTTTCATTCGTCGCTGAAAATATTTACGTAGACGCAGAAATGTGTAGTGAGGAAAAAAATTGAGCTCTTAAATCGCATTATATATAATATAAATCAAAATATAGTCATATTTTTGTTACATAAGTTACAATTTTTGTTACATAAGTTCTTCCCTAGCATCACTTTCTCTTTTAGAAATAAGAGAACAGACTTTTTTGTCATAACAATTGGAAAACCAATTTAATTGGGACGCGTATTAAAGCGTACTTTTAACTTTGCTATAATTTTTCCCCTCATTGCGCATTCCAATGGCGGAAACGAATTCCGACAGTATTGTGCAAATTCAAGGAGGAATATATCTGTATAGAACTGTGCGTGTTCGTGCGAAGATTTACTTTATGATTTGGGATACACATGCGAAACGCGACGACCACACTCGCCGACATTTTACGTAACGTGAATTCAGGACGACAATGCTTCCATGTTTGGCCAGTGCTCTCGCGAGGAAACCACGCCGTTTCACGTCCCGCAGCAGATTTTCAGCCCGCTAGATAGGTATATGACACTGCGAGCACTTGCCCGAGTCATAACGCAGAACACTACCGATGTTACTGTTGCCGAAAAAGATCGATGAAAGCAGGCGCTCGAGTACGATTCGAAGGCTCCTAAAGTGCTGCTCCGCCCCCGATCGTGAGATAATCAAAATCGGGTGCCGGGAGCGTTCACGACCGTTTCCTTTTTAAAAACTACGCTATAGTATATAGAGATACGCTCACAATTACACATAGGCACGCGCGACCGATTTATAGCGAATGCCTGAGTATGTACGTATGTTTGTATGTCGTGTGAGTTACATGCGCGCGGGCGTATGTGCGTATGTGTGTCAGTATGTACATATAACGATTAATAAATGAAAAAATCTATTGTATATCTTTCTCTTGTAAGCTCGTGACGTTTATTAGGCATTCATCTGCGTACACGAGTGTATTTCAACGATAATTTGAGTAAAACGGCTAGCTTGTAGCCAATGCTGTATATATACATATACACAGTATATGTATATATAACATTGGTTCATATAAATATATAGGTGTGTGCGTGTATATACATGTATGTGTGTGTTTTATATATGTACACACATACACACATGTGTAAGACATATTTATATGAAAGCCACCGGCTGTATTACAATTTTAATAGTTTATAATAATTGAAATTGTTGTGATATATTATATATATATACATATATATATATATATATATATATATATATATATATAAATAATACACACTACACACACCTGTGTATACATATAAATAAGAATTAATTACAAAATAAATAATTTAACAAAACGCAAGAGTCGAGTGTGAGTCGAGGTAGTGAAGCTGTCTTCGGATTATTAGTGCTTGTAAATTAGCTGAATTCGTGTGGAAAGAAACAAAAATACAATAT